TTTTAGGGAAGTAAAAACTTCGGGACAAAAGTTAATTCTGTGCAGGCACAAAGCTTCAAACTTTTTACTAAAGTCAGTGGGATTAAGTTAAAGTATAAAAGTGCCTTAGCAAATAGAGCCGTCGGGAATGATTGTCCTGCGTCTCGTTTAGACATACGAACCGTTTCGTCACAAAGGGGCAGGGACATCAAATTGTAACATTTCTGTAGAATGACCCAGTGGCGTTCCGCTTTCCCGGCCTGGCTGCCTGCACTCTAAATGTTCTACAGTGAAGATTCTCCATATTATGGTGAAAATGTTCCATATTATGGTGGTGCAGCTGACCTCGTAACATACCATTGAGAATTCACCGTACCTTATAGATATTTTGACGAATTTTGTTGGTATTATGGAGAAAATCCCCACCATAATATGTTGGTGCAGCCTTTCACCGTAAGACATTTACAGTGGCTGCCCCAGGCACGTGCCTCGAGGCGGGCTTGGCCTCGCCTTGCCGCATGCCGATGCAGGAATATGGCATTCCGCCGGCGCTCAATAACGGAGGGAATAATCTTGGCGCTCGGACGAATTGAGATAGGAAAGATTTAATGCGAAAGAACGAAAACGCGAAATAAAAAGGGTGGTGTGTTTCGTTCTGAGCGAACTCTCGGGTAAAAGGGACGGTCGTGGACTGTACTCTCGAGGTGTAGTAATAATGCTCTTGGGCTCAAGAAGTGCGCTCTTGGGCTGTCGAAAAGCTCTTGGACACAAGAGGCCTGCCATCACTTCCCTCATTGTGACAGCACAGGGTACACTCAACACACTCCCACTCACTAATTTGTTTGGATACACCTGAATAAGGATTCAATCACTGGTCAACTCACTACACTCACACTCAGTTTTACGTATTTCCAGTCCGCTAGAAGGAAGGGGTTGGTGATGTAGTGGGAAAGGAGGGGCACAGTGGGCCAGAAGACCGGTGGAGGTGGCCAAAACTCCAGACGCGTTTTGAGCCCCGGAGCCGCTAAATGGGACTCGAACCGAACGTGTGACCCCACCAGTGGGTTCCTCGTTCGGAGAGCAATCCATTGGTGGGGTCACACGTTCGGTTCAAGTCCCGTTTAGCGGCTCTGGAGCTGAAAACGCGTCTGGAGTTTTGGCCACCTCCACCGGTCTTCTGGCCCACTGTGGGGAGGCGACCTTGCCGACGTCATTTAACGCCCACGTGTGGGAGCGGCCCCGGACTCGTCGGGGTTTCGCCTTTCATATTCGCTTCTCCTTTTGTCTCGGCTTCCCCGCTTCCCGGCTTTCCCCTTTTTAAACGGCCCGCCGCGACGCCACTCCCCAGCCCAGGGCACGCGGAGAGCCGAGTGCGCTGGTCGCGACGCGCCATTGTTGGCGGGCTCCCGCGTTGAATAATGAAAGCGCAGACAGCGCACAGTGGGCCAGAAGACCGGTGGAGGCAGCCAAAACTCGAGACGCGTTTTGAGCTCCAGAGTCGCTAAATGGGACTCGAACCGAACGTGTGACCCCACCAATGGATTGCTCTCCGAGCGAGGAATCCATTGGTGGGGTCACACGTTCGGTTCGAGGCCTGCTTAGTGACTCTGGAGCTCAAAACGCGTCTAGAGTCTTGGCCGCCTCCACCGGTCTTCTGGCCCACTGTACAGCGACGGGAAAGGGGTGAACGGGCGGGGCGGGGCGGGGCGGGGTGCGCGGAGGCGGTGCGTCATCCTGTCACTGCTGCCTCACTGTGTCTCGCTGCGCCGCCGGCCGAGAGTGCAGTGTGGCTCCTCGTTTGACTCCTCATTTGACTCCGGTCGGTTGGAAATCGGCTGGGAGCGCACAGTGGGCCAGAAGACTGGCGCCCGCGGCCTAAACTTTGGACGCGTTTTCAGCTGCATGGTCGCTAAATGGGACTGGAACCGAACGTGTGACCCCACCAATTGATTCCTCCTTCGGAGAGCAATCTATTGGTGGGGTCACACGTTCGATTCGAGTCTCATTTGGCGCCTCTGAAGCTCAAAACGCGTCCGGGATTTCGACCGCCTCCACCGGTGGCCCACCGTGGAGCGAGGACGATTGTCGACCACAATCATGACCTGCACGACCACGACAACGTCCACGAGCGCCGCCACCGCCACCACGACGTCCGCCCTCCAAAACGCCTCATCGACAACAGTGATGGGCGCCGCCCCGCCCCCTGTGAGTACGTAAGTCCCCCCCCCCCACTGTCGCGGCATGGCGTTTTACACGACAAACGACAAACGAGCGTGCGCTCGTCAAAGTCGCCTCGCGACACATGTGGGCCCCACGACGGAGCGCGGTGGCGGATCGGGAACGTAGTGTGCGTGCGATGGGGCGTGGTGGGGCGGGGCGGGGCGGGGCGGGGCGGGGCGGGGGCGTTGTAGACGACGGGGGGCGTCGAGGTGTCGCCTGCCACGCGAACCAGGCGTGGCGAGGCGTGGCGAGGCGTGGGGCTTGGGATCGGCAGCCCCTGCTCGCACCCCTTGCTATAAAGCCCGTGTGTACACACCCTCGACACACAATGGCTGCGAGATGCAGTGGCACCACGCCACGGCGTGCCACGGCCTCCACCAACACCGAGCACAAAAACCCGGCCTGCCAGTGTTCGCGCGCCACCCGGGTTTTCCGCTCCGAAACCCGATTTTATTTTTTTCCCAGCGCGGTCGCGTGGGTATCCGTCCGCATTGTTCCCGCCGCCCGATAAAAGCTCGCCGGGATTTTTGCCCCGCCTCCGCGGGAGAGGAGTTTAATGAGCTGTCATTGAGCGGGGAGGGGCCTGGCGATGCTCAACTTTGGCAGGTCCACCCGGCGCGCCGTTCGGTATAGTGGATTCCCTTGTCTGCCGTTCCAGCGTGCCAGCATGGCTCCAGCGACCGATGGATGACCTCATTCGTCGGCGCAGCCCGGGCACGCGCGGGAACCAAGTGCCAAATTCTATTCAATTTTGAAAAAAAAAATGAAAATTTTCTTTTAAAAAGAGCCTTGTGGTGGAGGAGGTTTGGTGCGAGTGTCGAAAGTTTTGGCCGCAGCGGGCTGGGCGAACGGCTGCTCGTTTGTTAATTGGTGCATTCGATTCGCGGCTCCTGCCTCCAGCAAAGTGGTTCCGGCCGGAATCAAGTTCGCGCCCCGCGGTCCATTACAAACCGTGAATGGGAGCATCGAGCCATCTCGAGCAGACTACTGTAGTCAGTGAGAAACAATCATATGCCGTCGCGTCACGAGGTAGTGGGAAAATGGGCACGCGTCACTACACGAAGACACGTCATTTTTTTGTCAGAGGACACTGGAAAGAAGAAAGTTCTGAATCCGAACCACATCATGCTCTAAGGCATTTTATCTATGTGGGTTCAAAACTCTTTCTTTTTCAGAGCAGTTTGTCTTGAGCAGAACATCGCCCCCACTGCCTGCCTTCTCTTCGGCGTTCTCTTGCACCCGTCCCGCTGTCCCGCGCACTTCAATGTCGCGTTCGGTACACGGTTCTCCCTGGAGGGAAACTCGGGGCGAGGCGTGAGGGACCCAGTGGGCCAGAAGACCGGCGCCAGCGGCCAAAACTCGAGACGCATTTTCAGCTCCAGAGTCGCTAAATTGAACTCGAACCGGACGTGTGACCCCACCAATGGATTCCTCGTTCGGAGAGCAACCCATTGGTGGGGTCACACGTTCGGCTCGAGACCAATTCAGCCACTCTGGAGCTGAAAATGCTTCTCGAGTGTCAGCCGCCTGCCCCGTTCTCCTGGGAGGTAAGCTAGGCGTGAGGCGCGCGGCGAAGCAAGTCTCGGCCGCTCCCTTATGCACGGCGCTGGCTGGCAGTGTGCTGGCAGGCCGGCCGGCCGCTCGATGGATTTTTAATGCTTTTCGCGTGCCGCCGGGAAAGACGACGATTACGAGTAGTCGGGTTTACTCGCCAAGTGGGTCACGTGACGTCTGTCCGGGTCGCCGTCCTTCCAAAGAAATTACCAAGTTTCCCAAAGTCCTCTCCCCACTCTCCGCGCGCCCCGCCGCGCGTCACCATTTGACATGTTTGACACGCCCTAATATCCGGCACAGTTTCCTGTCGATTTTGTCGAAGAATTTTATGAGCCGTTCGGCGTTTGACATTCAGATCAGTCCGTAAAACTCGTAAAAAAGAACAATCGCGTCCCTCGTGCGGCTTGTCCCATTTTTTTTCGCAAAGTTGTTACTATGTTGCTTGAAATCATGTCCGCGGCCATGAACGCACACTGTCACGCGCTCCTCGTCACAACTCATCGTGACAGCCACGCTGGCTTCATCGATGGTTCGGGCGGATCCGCAATCAACTTGTCACACACTCCCGCATCTTCACATTGTTGTCACACGGTCGCATTGTCACGCGGTCGCATTGTCACACGGTCGCATTGTCACACGGTCGCATTGTCACACGGTCGCATTGTCACACGGTCGCATTGTCACACGGTCGCATCGTCACACGGTGACGCGATAACTGTCACGCGGCCACACTGTGACGTCGTTTCCGTGACGCTCCCACCCCGTCCCGTTCCTGTCACGCTCTGGTGACGCTCTAGTCACGCTGTCACGGGGGCCGCACTCACCATGGTGACTGGGAAGCCCCTGCACCGGCGGTGTGGTTCGCGCGCCCCGCTGCGGTGGTCTCGTCCGCGCCGACACTGCCAGAGGGGTCACAGAACGGCCCGTTCTCGCCGAAGTCCGCCACCGACTGGTTGGCCGACGGCCGACCCGACGCGCCGACGCGGTGGCTGGAGGGTGCTCGGCTCGGCTCGCCCCGGGACTACCCTAGCCGAGGCGCGCCGAGCGGAGCCGAACGGTCCCGAAGTCTGGCCGAAGGGCATTTCGCCACCCCGCCCCGCCCCGCCCCGCCCCGCCCCGCCCCGCCCCGCCCCGCCCCGCCCCGCCCCGCCCCGGGGCGTGGGGAAGCGCCGGCGGCACGTTCCGCGGTGTCACCTGCCCGGCCCTGACAAAATAAAGCGCCCTTCCGATTCTTTTTTCCAGAGTCTTTATTTGTCAGTGTACATGTCGGGCCGCACGTCGAGGATGGAGACGCCGTGAGGGAAGCGCGCTTCGCACGTGGAGTTGGAGTCGGGGCCGCCGGACTGGGAGTCGCTCCCGGAAAACCTGGAAATAGATTTAACAAAGTGGAAAGGTACGCAGGTTTCCTGACAACAGCGGGAAATGCAGGACCGCCACTCAGAAGGCCAGAAGACCGGTGGAGGTGGCCAAAATTCTCGACGCGTTTCGAGCTCCAGAGTAGGAAAGCAGGACTAGAACCGAACGTGTGACCCCCTCTAATGGATTCAGAGAGCAATCCATTGGTGGGGTCACACGTTCGGTTCGAGTCCCATTCAGCGACTCTGAGCTCAAAACGCCTCCGCCGGACTTCTGGCAAATCCACCGTGGATTATCCAGCGCTTACGTGAAGAGGGCCTTGAGGACCTCCTCCATGAAGCCTCCCTTGGCGGCGCGCCGAGTCCGCGGGGTCTGCAGGTCGCAGAGCGTGCGCCGCACGCAGTGCTCGCCGTGGAGGCCGAACCTGGAGGGCAGGAGAGGCAAGGAGAGGCAGGTCGCAGAGAGGAGGCCACAGTGGGCCAGAAGACCGGCGCAGCGGCCAAAACTCTAGAAGCGTTTTGAGCTCCAGAGTCGCTAGACAGGCCTCGAAGCGATCGTGTGACCCCACCAATGGATTCCTCGTTCGAAGAGCAATCCATTGGTGGGGCCACACGCTCGGTTCGAGTCCCATTTAGCGACTCTGGAGCTCATAGAATTTTGGCCGCTCCACCGGTCTTCTGGCCCACTGGCGTCACTGCTCGCGCTGCTCGCTACTCAAGCCTGAGAGGGTTCCCGTGTCACGCCCGTCACGCCGCGGCCCGTCACGTGACGTGACGTGACGGCGCGGTGTCGAAGCCGGAGAGAGAGACGCGCCACGTTTGAATTACTGAAAGGACTGCGACTGCAAACACCGTGACTGAAAGGGAACATCCCTCTTCCCCGCCCACGCCCGTTTTTTCCCCTTGCGGCACCTCGGGGAAGTTGTATCCCGCGGCGGCCGTGGACAACATTCAGAGTTTTTCCGGTTGACGGCGAACATTTACAATCAGAGAAAGCAAGTCCGGAAACATTCACGGGGAATGATCCCCGAGTTGTCGTTTGTCGACTTTTAATCAGTACAGCAGCGGTGCTTCGTTTTGCCACAAAATGATAACAGTCTGCCCTCACGGTCACCGCTTACTTGTCCAGGAAGACGACTAGGTCGTCCAGGAGCTCGGCGCGGTGCTGCTGGTCGGGGTCCTCGCCGACGGCCCTCTTGTTGAGGTACAGCTCGTAGGAGTGCGTGGGCAGCCGCCAGGCGATGCCCCACGTCACGCCCGTCGTGAAGATGGTGGTGAAGGGCACGAAGCTGCCCACCGTGAACTCGGCCACCATCTGCCGGCATCACGCACCGTCAGTAGGGGTGCCACCCGGAGGGAGGGAGGGCTAGGGGTGCCACCCGCGGCGTGTTGCCACAGGAAGGCGAAAATCTCTTTGACGCCCGGGGAGGCAACCTCAGCCGACTTGTTTGCGGGATGAGGTTGGCAACCCTACTGGTGCACCGTGCTGACTGTGGCAGCACGCACCACTGTCTCCAGGGTAGGCAACCTCAGTCGACTTGTTTGCGGGATGAGGTTGGCAACCCTACTGGTGCACCGTACTGACTGTGGCAGCACGCACCACTGTCGCCAGGGTAGGCAACCTCAGCCGACTTGTTTGCGGGATGAGGTTGGCAACCCTACTGGTGCACCGTGCTGACTGTGGCAGCACGCACCACTGTCGCCAGGGTAGGCAACCTCAGCCGACTTGTTTGCGGGATGAGGTTGGCAACCCTACTGGTGCACCGTGCCTACTGTGGCAGCACTGCTCCACGACTCACTTGAATGGAGCTGCCCCTGGGGAACACGATGTAGCGCCTCTTCCTGGACAGCAGCCGTTCGGAGCTGCGGCGGCGCGCGGGACTGCGCACCGCGACCACGACGCGCGGCCCGGCCTCGTCCTCGGCGACGTCCTCCAGTGGCGGCAACCCGCCGAAGTTGCCGCGCCGAAGAAGACCGCCACCCGCGGGCAGCTCCAGGACGCCGTCGTCGAGGACGGCGGCGTGCTCGGCCAGGACAACGGCCAGGACGACGGCCAGGGTGACAGACAGCACGGCCAGGTGGAGGGCGCGCGGGCCGAGGCGCGACGGTGGAGGCATGGCGACTGGCGGCATCGCGCTGCCCGCCCGCCGGCACCGCTACACGCTAAGTGACGCGCAGACGGCGGCGTGACCGTTAGCCTTCATCCCGCCGGCGTCGGATACACCGGGCGGCGTGCACCGAACCCACTCGGAACCACTCGGACACACTCGGACCCGAGAGCACATCAGCAGAATGCGGAATAGAAGTTTTGCGTGTAGTCAGAGAGACACGATGCACAGTGAGCCAGAAGGCCGCAGCCGGCGGCCAGGCCAAAACTCTAGACGCGTTTTGAGCTCCAGAGTCGCTAAATGGGACTGGAACCGAGCGTGTGACCCCACCAATCGATTCCTCGTGCGGAGAGCAATCCATTGGTGGGGTCACACGTTCGGTTCGAGTCCCATTTAGCGACTCTGGAGCTCAAAACGCGTCCAGGATTTTGACCGCCTCCACCGGTCTTCTGACCCGCTGTGCGATGGAGAGATTAGAGAGGGTTAGAAGGTAGTGAGGTTTTTGTTGTTTACTCTCTGGGTTTTATTACAGAAATGAGATCCCGTTTACAGCTGTGATTCACAAAAGTAAATGCTTAGTCTAATTCTCTAGAGGGCGCGAGTTTCTCGAACACAAAGAAGGCGGCGGGTCGTCTCAGCGACGTGACGTCACCAGTGAGGTCACCAATGACGTCACCAATGACGTCGCCAATGACGTCACCAATGACGTCGCCAATGACGTCACCAATGACGTCAGCACGGCGGCACCAAGGAGCCCCTGGAGGAGATGTTGGTGCTCTAGCGCGCGGACCTGGCCATGGAGGGCGTGGCGCTGCCGCTCCTGCTGCTCCGGACGCTCCGGCTGGCCGCCGTGCTGGGCGTGGGCGTCTTGTGCTTCACCGGCTTGGTGGACACCGAGAAGTTGATGGCGAACTTGAGCTCCTTCCAGAAGGCGTCGGACACGCTGATCTGCACAGACCACCAAAGAAAGAGTCGCCGCTGCAGCGGGGAAGCTTACACGAATAGAGCAGAGCACCGCATAGTGGGCCAGAAGACCGGCGCCGGCGGCCAAAACTGTAGAATCCAGAGTCGCTAAATGGGGCTCGAACGGAGCGTGTGACCCCACCAATGGATTCCTCGTTCGGAGAGCAATCCATTTGTGGGGTCACACGTTCGGTTCGAGTCCTATTTAGTGACTCCGGAGCTCAAAACGCGTCTACAGTTTGGGCCGCCGGCGCCGGTCTTCTGGCCCACTGTGCGGCGCTTGCTCAAGCACTACACAAGCTAGCGGACGGCGTTCTTACCCTGTTCTCGATGGCAACGCTGCGCGAGTTCCAGAGGAACTCGATGATGGCCATGACGAAGGCGGCGGCGCAGCCGTAGATGAGCACGAGGAAGACGCCGCCCACGTTGGCCAGGCCCAGCTTGTTGCTGTCCACCGAGCTGGCGGGCGCGGCCTCGCTGGCGCACCGGCTGCCGTCGTCGTACTGCCGCCACCACAGGTCCTTGAGCTGGCTCAGCTTGCCGGACTCCTGCAGCCGCAGCACCGCCCCGGAGATGACGCCGCGGAACGGCGAGTCTGCAGCGAGGAGGCCGTGTTCCGCACAGTGGACTAGCCAGAAGACCGGTGGAGGCGGTCAAAATTCCGGGCGCGTTTTGAGCTCCAGAGTCGCTAAATGGGACTCGAACCGAACGTGTGACCCCACCAATGGATTGCGCTCCGAACGAGGAATCCATTGGTGGGGTCACACGATCGCTTCGAGTCCTGTTTAGCGACTCTGGAGCTCAAAACGCGTGTGGAGCTTTGGCCGCCTCCACCGGTCTTCCGGCCCTCCGCCACGCACAGGTTCACAGGTTCACCGCGCCAATGTCTCACTCCTCGGCATGGCGATGCCGTAGCCCTTGGAGTCCAGCAGGCCGCCCACTTGGCGCAGGTTGCAGATCCTGGCCGACTGGTACTCGATGCTAGTGGACTCCATGAGGAAGGCGTACTGGCCCTTGCCCTTGGTCACGCGCTCCACGCCCTCCATGTTGTTGGCGGGGAACACGGACGGCCGCGCGTTCTGCATGTAGTCCCACATGCGCTGGTAGTCGGAGAAGTTGGAGTTCTGGCGACAGTGAGAACGGATTCGCCCACCAGCTCCACTTCGCAGACGTGCACACTCCAAAAGTAGGCAAAAATGCCCTCGATGCACCAGTGTTGAGTGGGCAATTGCCTACCTGCTTGTTAGGTGATACAGGTTGAGGTTGGCAACCCTTTCAACACTGGTGCATGGTGGGAATTTTCATCTACTTGTAACAGTACTGGCTCCAAGAGAGCCAAAATTCAATTATTATTGTTTGTCCATAAACAAAAAGTGTATACACTGAAAAACCACACGTGGTATAGACCACACCACTGGTGTGATCAAATGGGTGCCATTTTGACCCCATCAGTTGGGGTGATCTAGACCACGTTTGGCGACGTTTGGTGTGGTCTAGACCGTCTTAAACGTGGTCTAGACCACACCAACTGATGCGGTCAAAATGGTACCCATTTGACCGACCACGCCAGTTGGTGTGGTCTAGACCACGTTTGGTTTTTCAGTGTAGCGCCAGCTTGTTTGTTGTCGCCAAGCAAAACGCGTTCAGGGAGCTCACCGCGAAGAAGGACTGCGTGGAGCCGCCGTACACGCAGCCGTACTGGACCTTGGTCTGCGTCGCCAGGTCCTTGGCGTCCTTGATGAGGTCGCTGCCCAGGTTGTCCGTGAGGAAGGCCGCCAGGTTGGCCGTGTAGGACGAGATCATGATGAGCACGAAGAACCACCACATGCCCGCCACCATGCGCGTGGACGCGGCCCTGCGACACCGCGAGCGCGCAACCCATCAACACAGCATCCGAGCATCCCATGTCACAAACTGGCGCCGATCCGCCGTCTAACAGCAAACAATGAATTTCGGTAGTGTGCCTACAGTCTACATCTACGGTAAATTTTGGAAGTCTGCAGTCAGCAAAGGGTAAATTTTGGCAATCTACAAGCTCGATCTACATAATTAAAGGATACATACTACATACACTCTAGAAACTGAAGAGTGTGCATGGCATTCTCCCCCAGGGAGTATGCTACAAAGCACGCTCCATCCTGGAGTGTGCTTGCAAGCACACTCTTCCCAGGAGCATGCTTGGCAAGCACGCTTTACGGAGGAGCATGCTTCCAAGCACACTCCAGGATGAAGCGTTCTGCGTCGCTATTGCAAGGCCCATATGATCGAAGAGGCACGCCTTAATCCTGGAGTGTGCTTTGAAGCATGCTCCTCCGAAGAGTGTGCTTTCCATGCATGCTCCTCCGTAGAGTGTGCTTGCCAAGCATGCTCCTCCGTAGAGTGTGCTTGCAAGCACACTCCAGGATGGAGCGTGCTTTGTGGCATACTCCCTGGGGGAGCATGCCATGCACACTCTTCAGTTTCTAGTGCAGTCATAAAAACCTTCACTTGCAAGTGAAGGATTCAAATTTTGCTCAGCCTGCCTACCAGTCACGACCCCAAGAAAATGAAACGCTCACCAAGACGTCATTTGATGTCAATATGACTGTGTTCAGTCAAAATTTCGACAAAAAATAATTATTTTGATGGTCGTATTGACGTCATTTTGACGTCATTTTGACGTCATTTTGACGTCATTTTGACGTCATTTTGACGTCATTTTGACGTCATTTTGACGTCATTTTGACGTCATATTGACGTCATTTTGACTTCTTTGACTTCTTTGTGAGTGCTTCGTGTTTATTGGGGAGCACGGCTGAGGTAAAGACAGTGAGACAAAACAGAGCCGGCAACCGGTTTTGCATCCGACGATGCAACGTGACACACGTTTGGGGTTGAAAGCGAACACTGAAACCAAGCAGAGGCGGGCGTTAGAGGCGGGGTGGGCGTTACAGAGGCATTGCAAGGACGGCCGTCAGCCGGGCCGTGTCTGTGTCTGTGTCGGGGCGGGGCGTCGCGTCTGCCGCGAGCGACCGACCGCAGGGGAGGAAAAAGAAGGGGAAGTTGTGTCACACTCTTGGTGTGACACCGACGTTCTTTCATGCTCAGAATACATCATTCATCGGGAACAAAAGAAGAGAACACCAGAAGGAGGGACAGGGCCGACGGGTGTCCCGCGCACGAGTGTAAACTACCCCATCGGCAGCGAAAACAGTTACAAAAAATATCAATTTCAAAAAAAATAGCAAAACAGCAAAAATCACAAAAAAAAACGTTTAATTGACTTTAATTTTTGGGAAGTCCGAGCGGACGGTGTGTGGTGTGAGGCGCGTCGAGTCTACGCGGCGTACAGTGGGCAAGAAGGGCATGCGGAGGCGGCAAAAATTCCAGACGCGTTTTGAGCTCAAGAGTCGCTAAATGGGACTCGAAACGAACGTGTGACCCCACCAATGGATTGCGCTCTCCGAGAGGAATCCATTGATAGGGTCACACGCTCTGTGCGAGCCCTGTTTAGCGACTCTGGAGCTCAAAACGCGTCAGGAACCTTTGCCGCCTCCAACCGGTCTTCTGGCAAATCCACTGTGCGGTGGCGGCGCCATGCGGCGCGGCGCGTAGTCTTACTTCGGTGCGATGTCGGAGCCCTGCTGCATGAGGGAGCCGACGTTGTGCCAGATGGCGTTCGACAGGTTCAGCGTGTACTCCAGGATGGTCTCCGAGGTCTGTTCCTCGCTCGGCGTCGTACTTTCCCACTCGCCGGGCGTCACCCTGCAACCCAGGAACCCAGCAGACTGATTCCGAGAGTCGTCTTCGTCGCTCCGCCCCTCTCGCACCTGTTAGGGGACGCGCCGTGAGTGCGCCAGAGACAGAGCGACGAAAAAGACTCTCGGAATCGGGCGGCAGCGACCACCACGCGGGCTCACTTAAAACACGGGTTCCGAACTACAAGAATAGCGACATGGACACTTATTTAAAGCCGGGCCCACTCTGTTCCATGCTCTACGTACTCTTCTTTAAACGTACATGCCCCAGATCACTTCCGGCACCTCCCAACCCCAACAACGTTTTCCTTCTGACGGAGCGTACCCTCCACACCCCTTCCCGAGCCTCCCGAATGCCGGTTCAGTCCGCCCAAGCTGCTGGAAAGCACTCACTTGAAGCACCACTCGAACAAACGTCCGACTTTTGTAGAGTTTTCTCAGTGTGTTTGTGTGTGTGGGATAGACACTGGCAGTCAACTTCGTTGGCGTTCTCTGGACGAAGCCTTGCCGGGTGTCCCTGAGCACCGTTCACCGAAACGATGTTCAACGGTCGCGTATCCATGCAAAACTTAGTCATCCGCCTTATTCAAGCCACCATTCACCATTCCTTGCCCAGTGCGCTTCCAACCGTTTGAGAAAGAGAGCGTTATGAGTCGAATCCGAGGGGTCGGCAACTTCCCTTGGCCGTGTACGAGGGAGTGTACGTATATTACCAGTAATATAGGTAATATATGTGTAATATAAAGTAATACAAAGTAATATATAGTAATATAGGGGTATTATAGAGGCGAATGGTAATATGCAAGTAATATATGGTAATATACAGGTAATAAACGGGTAATATAGCCACCGCGTACCAAGTAATATGAGTTGCCGACCCCTCGGTCGAATCTCGCTCGCAGCTTCTGGGAGGGAAAGGGAATATAAACCCGTCGAAGCAAAGGTGTACACCGAAGCGGGTCTCGGACCTGGGAGGGGGTGCACAGTGGGCCAGAAGACCGCTGGAGCCGGAGCCGTTTTGAGCTCCACAGCAACTGTTGCTATGGGACTCGAGCCGAACGTGTGACCCCCGCCATTGGATTCCTCGTTCGGAGAGCAATCTATTGGTGGGGTCACACGTTTCGGTTCGAGGCTCATTTAACGACTCTGGAGCTCAAAACGCGTCTAGAATTCTGACCGTCTCCAGCGGACTTCTCTGGTCCATTGTGGAACGAACCCGCCACAATCGGCATGCCTTCAGCCTTAGGGACAGGAGGTCACGCCGACTGCAGCGTCGGTTGGCCAACGTACCGAGGCTCAATGACTTCCATGTCTGTAACATCCACTTTGTTTTGCCTCCGTTGGCCAACCCGATCCGCGAGGGGGCCACCACCCCCGTAATCCTGTGTACAAATTGGCTGGTAATCTCTGGTAATCCATGGCGTAATCACGTAATCCTTGACAAAATTCTGTCATTTTTTAACGTTTTTAGTCATTTTTCAACGTTTTTGAGCTATTTTTCAACGTTTTCGAACCAATTTTCGAAAATTTCACGCGTAATCCCTAGTAAATTTCCCGTAATCCCGTAATCTTGTGTACGCCTGAAATGAGAGTGGTGGCCCCCTCGCCGATCCGCCCTGGCGCGTTGGGGCGTGTGTGGCTGCGGTTGCTGGCGTGCAAGGGGTCGGCGGGGCCCGGTGCGGGGGCACGCTCACGCTAGAGCTCACGCTGGGGTCTTACTTGGGCAGGAAGTCGCACCCCTGCTGCAAGAAGGAGCCCAAGACGAACCACAAACTGTTGATGAGCGTGAACGTGTTCTCCAGCTCCTCGGGGCTCGGTTCGCACGGGTGCGGGTTGTCCCACTCGGTGGGGGAAAGCCTGCAAATGAAGGAACAAGGACCCCAGCCTGTGTCGTCGCCCCGCTAACCACCCCCGACAAGGTGCCCGAAACTAACCCTTCTAAGCTGAGTCATTTTTCGACTAAACTATCCACCCTCCGGAAGAGCCCTTGCGGTGCGATTCGATGGCGACTGACCTGGCCAGGACGAAGAGCAGGAAGGACACGGCCACGTAGGCGAAGGCCATGTAGATCCACACCTCCGTGGACAGGGGCAGCAGGAAGGAGAAGCGGTTCGTCTCGGGGGCCTCGGGGATGGTGTGCAGGATGGAGATGCCTGCCGACCACAAGCAGAGTCAGCCGACACGATTCCCTGTCGCCACCCGGAAATTCGAAACGCGGACCCACCCAGCGTCATGAAGGGCATGGTGAAGTCCACGGCGCGCTCGCGGTCGTAGGTGATGGTGAGGTCGCACAGGCCCAGGTCAGCTTTCTGGGAAGGAGCGTGTTTTGTTTGAGAGTGCGGTGCACGCTGCGCAGTGGGCCGGCAGACCGACGGCGGCAAAAACTCTAGACGCGTTTTGAGCTGCAGAGTCGCTGAGCAGGACTTGAACCGAACGTGTGACCCCACCAATGGATTCCTCGTTCGGAGAGCAATCCATTGGTGGGGTCACACGGTCGGTTCGAACCCCATTTAGCGTCTCTGGAGCTCAAAACGCGTCCGGCATTCTGGCACACTGCGGCGCGCTCACCCTGTCCAGGAGGTCCTTGATGAGCCCGTTCCAGGCGCCGTTCTTGAGGCTGCCGTACTGGCCGTCCGCCACCACGTAGAACTCGTACTTGAAGTTGAGGATCTGGGAGATGGCCTCCACCAGGTCCACGGAGTAGCCGCGCAGGCACTCGTTGCCGCAGCCCGCAGTGTAGTTGTCCTTGTTCTTCATCATCAGGAAGGGCGGGCCCTGTGTGTGCCCACCAAGGTGCCCACCGTCTCGCATCAACAAACGGCCGTATTCCAGACCCAAAAACAAAAGCAAAAAAAAAAAGAAAGATGGCCCCCAGCGGGACTCGAACCCACAACTGACTAGTGTTCCGGTTTGGGTGGGCGGTCAAAACCCGATGACTCCAGAGTGACTCCAAAACTCGGCCGGTGAATGCAGTGCCAGCCGCATGCAGTGCCAGCCGCAGGCACTGCCAACAGGATAGCCTAGGCCCTACGCCAGCCTACTGACAGTGCCTGCGGGCGGCACTGCATTCACCGGCCGAGTTCTAGAGTCGCTCTGGAGTCATCGGGTTTTGACCGCCCACCCAATCCGGAACACTACAACTGACCAGTTTGGACACGACGCGCAGCGTCCTCTTGGAGAGCTGCTCCTTGGTGTCGCGCTCCATCTCCTCGACGGAGCGGAACAGGTGGATGCCGGACATGTTCCAGACGCCCGTGCCCACGTTGGCCACCGTGTCGATGAGCGTGAGCGAGAAGTTGGTGCGCCGGAAGTCGGCGTCCGCGTCCAGCGACAGCGGCCCCGTCATGCCCACCTCGTCCGTGTCCGGGTTGCCGTACACCTGCGGACGCGGGTTCGAACACCGACACACAGGTTTCAGTTTCGACGCGGTCATGGTGGGCTCTGCTTAACGTTCATTGAGGTTTGGGTGCCTCTCTCTCGTAATCGGGTAGAGATAAATGCGCAGGGTAACTAAAATTAAAAAAAAACAGCGAGGGGGAAACGACTGAGAAATTTTGTGTACATCGGATAGGGATAACCCCGGATAACCCGCGGATTACCTCCGGATTACATCGAAAATTTTCCAGGATTACCATTGGATAACCCCGGATTACCTCAAAATTTTCTCGGATTACCCCGGATTACCTCAGAATTTCCCCGGATTACTTCGAAATTTCTGGTTATCCGGATAGCGGATAACCAATTTGCTGTACATCGGATAACCGAAGTCGTTTCCCCCTCGAAAAACAGTCATCCTGTGCATAACGCTGGGCAAGACGCACAGTGGGCCAGAAGACCGGTGGAGGCGGTAAAAATCCCAGACGCGTTTTGAGCTCCAGAGTCGCTAAATGGCTCTCGAACCGAACTCGTGACCCCACCAATAGATTGCTCTCCGAACGAGGAATCCATTGGTGTGGTCGCACGCTCGGCGGAGTCCTGTTTTGCGACTGGGATTTCGACCGCCTCCACCGGTCTTCTGGCACACTGTGTTGGCGGAGCGGACGTACGGACTTCATGAAGGTGACGATGCGCTCGCCGTGCTCCCAGATCTGGGCCACGTCGCAGGACAGCTGGCGCTCGAAGACCGGCGGCTCGGTCTGGTTGAGCTGGTGCAGCGACCGCGCGAACATGTGCACGGCGTCGTTGATGAGTGCCGCGGAGGTCTGGAGGCAAGTTGGCGGGTAAGTTTAGTTTAGTTTACGACGCACGGTGGGCCAGAAGACCGGTGGAGGCGGACAAAACTCTAGACGCGTTTTGAGCTCCAGAGTCGCTAAATGGGACTCGAACCGAACGTGTGACCCCACCAATGGATTCCTCGTGCGGAGAGCAATCCATTGGTGGGGTCACACGTTCGGTTCGAGTCCCATTTAGCGACTCTGGAGCTCGAAACGCGTCTAGAGTTTTGTCCGCCTCCACCGGTCCTCTGGCCCACTGTGCGATGTGAGTGAAGAATGTCTTGGAAATTCCCGAACAACTTTAAGGAGAGTGTCCTGACTCGCCTTGATCTCCGCGGCGGCCAGGCTGATGGTGTTGCCGCGCAGCCGCTCGCTGTACAGCCAGTCCTGCAGGGCGTTCTGCACCTCGCCGCCGTCCGGGTCCAGCAGCCGCAGCCCCGTCACGTTGGACACGAAGGGCAGCTCCTGCTTCCACTCCCCGAACTCGCCGAAGTCGGCCGTGTGCGCGTCCTGGATGCATCGCGTGCGACACGCCGTGTCAGACGTGACATGCAGTGACAGACTCGCCCTCTCGCGCAGTGGGCCAGAAGACCGGCGGAGGCTGTCAAAATTCTAGGCGCGTTTTGAGCTCCAGAGTCGCTAAACAGGACTCGAACCGAACGTGTGACCCCACCAATGGATTGCTCTCCGAACGAGGAATCCATTGGTGGGGTCACGAGTTAGGTCCGAGTCCAGTTTAGCGACTCTGGGGCTCATAACGCGCAAAATTTTGGCCGCCTCTGCGCCAGGCCAGAGTCCACTGCCGCTCACCAGGGAGGTGACGAGGTAGCTGATGTAGTCGCCCATCATCTTGACCTGGCGCGCCTGCCGGAAGATCTCCATGATCTTGTCGGGCGCCACGTCCAGGACGATGCGCGTCTCCGTGCTGTTGCGGATCTCCTTGAGCAGCGGCCTGGAAGTGGCAGGACACAGTGCAATCCACCTCACAGTGAAAACTGTTTCGCTGCAGACTGATTCTGAGAGTCGTTTTCGTCGATCTGTCTCTCTCGCTCTCATAGGGCGTGCCGCATGGGTGCGAGAGAGAGAGAGAGAGCGACGAAAACGACTCTCAGTCTGCTGGGTACGCTGCTCGACGCGCTGTTTGACGCGCTGCTCTACCTGTAGTCGGGGTCGTCCCCCAGGCGGCGCACTGTGATGGGCGCGTCGGCCGGCCCGTGGGCCTTGAGCACCTCCTGCAGCCGGAACAGGGCCTCGTCGTCCTCGTAGATGATGGTGAAGCTCTTCCACGCCATGTCCTCGAGCAGCGCCACGATGGCCTGCGCATTCCGTTCATTGCTGTGTTGTTGTGGTTGTTGCTTTTAGCGTGTTGTTGTCGCACAGGGAGCCCGAAGACCGGTGGGAGCGGCCAAGACTCTAGACGCGTTTTGAGCTCCAGAGTCGCTAAATAGTACTCGAAGCGGACTGTGGCCCCACCAATAGGTTCCTCGTTCGGAGAGCAATCCATTGGTAGGGTCATACGGAGTCCCGTTCAGCGACTCTGGAGCTCAAAACGCGTCTAGAGCTTTGGCCGCCTCCACCGGTCTTCTGGCCCACTGTGTGTCGTCGCACCTGCGATATGCTCTGCCGGTCCGGGGCGACGTTGACGCGCAGCTTGGTGGGGCGCCGCAGCGACGTGTAGTGCGTCAGGATGTGCGGGATCTCGAGGGTCTCGCTGATGGACGACACGATGTTAATCAGGTCCCTGTGGCTCGGCCCGAAGAGCGCCGACACGCCGTTGGCCACCATGCCGCACACTGTGAGGGGGCAAAGTCGAGAGGTCAAATTTAAGTCCGAGAGGGCAAATTGAAGTTCGAGAAGTCATAATTGAAGTTCAAGAAGTCCCATTGAAGTTCAAGAAGTCTAATTGAAGTTCAAGAAAGTCTAATTGAAGTTCAAGAAGTCCAATTGAAGTTCAAGAAGTCTCATTGAAGTTCAGGAAGTCTAATTGAAGTTCAAGAAGTTTAATTGAAGTTCAAGAAGTCTCATTGAAGTTCAAGAAGTCTAATTTAAGTTCAAGAAGTCCAATTGAAGTTCAAAAATTCAAATTGAAGTTCAAAATTCAAATTGAAGTTCAAGAAGTCTAATTGAAGTTCAAGAAGTCTAATTGAAGTTCAAAAAGTCAAATTAAAGTTCAAGAAGTCAAATTAAAGTTCAAGAAGTCAAATTAAAGTTCAAAAAGTCAAATTTAAATTCAAAAAGTCAAATAAAAAAAATAAAAAATATTTTTCTAAGCTGCCGATGCCGGGACTTGAACCCGGGCCTCACCCTTCCTGCTGACCGCGAAGCCGTCCACGGGGTTGAGCACCTCGACGACCGGCACCAGCTTGACGTGCGGCAGCACGCGCTTGTCCATGTTGACGCGCTCGATGGCGGAGCGGAAGGCCAGGATGTCCTGCCACTCGTCCGGCCCGAACAGCCCCCCTAGGGCGCCAAAAAGAGTCTCTTTTAAAGTCTCGCAATGTCGAAAAGACGAAACTTTTTCTCTACAGCCGCAGTTTGGGTTTTCGACGGTGACGTATCTGGTCGTTCCGCGTCGCGTTGGCAGTTTGGATGAGGGTTTGTGGGATATTTGCGCTCCTAAATGACACCCGCGCAACAGCCGTATCGAAGCTGGCACTGGCAGGCAATCCACGGACCCGTCCGTCTCTGCCACGGCCTGCGGGCCGGCCCATGAGTAAGAGACGGGGCAACCCTGCCCCCGGGCAGCCCCTGGCCCTCCGCCAGCTTCCGGCCTGTACTGAGCAGCATTTCCTCTGTCTCTCTCGCACCCCTGCGGGACGCCCCATCGGTGCGAGAGAGACAGAGCGACTGCATCGCCCCTTTTTTCCCCTAGAGGAGCGCACCGCTTCGCGCCAAATTCCTGTTTGGTTTGTCAGAGTAAACGGAAACGGCGCTCTCTCGTTGACTCTGAGCATCCCTCCGGCCTCGGCCTTGGGGCTTCCGGCCGGGACGCACAGTGGGCCAGAAACCGGTGGAGGCGGCCAAAACTCTAGAAGCGTTTTGAGCTACAGAGTCACTAAATGGGAATCGAGCCGAGCGTGTGACCCCACCAATGGACTCCTCGTTCGGAGAGCAATCCATTGGTGGGGTCACACGCTCGGTTCGAGTCCCATTTAGCGACTCTGAAGCTCAAAACGCGTCTAGAGTTTCGGCCGCCTCCACCGGTTTCTGGCCCACTGTGGGACGGGAGGGTTAGCAAATTAAGGATGCGTTTCTTCCTTGCGCTCGGTTTGTTTTCCGATTTCTAGGTCGAGAGTGTGGATGTGTGGATGCCATTCTCATGAGCCTCACCGTCGGAACCCTAAACCCTGGCTACGCCTGCGCTCTAAATCGGCAATCAGCAGGGACTGGGTTGATAAGGGCAGGCAGCCTCGGCCAATAAGCCCACGGCTGCACACTGGCAAGCTCGGGGCAATTAAAGGCCCACCTGTCTGCAAGTGTGTGTGCGTCCTGATCGATTCAAAGCTACCGCCAAAAGATTGCGGCACACTGTGGACGAATGGAGAATCGGCAGTGACACGGTCCACCTGAAACTCTACACACTGAAGTGTGTACCCAGTCAGTGTGCATCTACAGATGCATACTTGGCTGAGTACACATCTGCAGCTGGATGATGCTTGGATGAGTTCACAGCTATAACGTAAGCATCTGTAGGTGTGTACTCAGCCAAGTATGCACCTCCTGTGGAAGCATACCGAGTACACATTTCAGTTTGTAGAGAACACGTTGTGTTCAATTCAGACTTCGGATCCGAATCGGAAGATCGATTGGTGTCGAAGCGACTCGGCTCCGACCGTGCGCGTCGCGTTCGCGCGTGCACACTGCACGCGT